TTCAGTAACAAGAGTAGATAGAAAACTATGAGTTAAGCATCTGCATGCTCAAACAGTTTTCAGTTAAAAGATAGCATAAAATCTTAAGCCAAGGTGCAGAGGATGATAAATTTGAGAGACATGTGCATTAAGGTTACAATATCTTTTTCATCATCACTTATGGACTCAACAAATATATATTCCAATCAAATGATAATGGTCTAAACACACACTAAAAACAAATAAAAGAATTGTAAATGGTATTTAATTGTACCTTTTCTTCAGTGTCATCAGGGCGAGTAACTAGTCGTGCTTTAATTTCCTCAGTCTCTGGAGGGAAATTTTTTAGATGATAAATCTTCCCTGTTAGAGGGTCTAACCTTCTTCCAACACATCTGTCGATTAGAGTTTCATCAGGAACCTGAGTATTAAGAAATAACATCTATGAAAAGGTACATTATGAATAATATTCCTTTTGTATGGATAAAAAACAACTTTAGATGCAAATGCATAATTTATCCGTAACAACCATAACTAAAGACCTCCATTAGTTTCACAGCATCAACAGCAACCGGCATAACTAATAAAGTTTCTGGCTGCAATGTTAAAAAGGGTAGAGTTAATGCATCTTAACCAGCGGTATCATCAAGTTGCTCCGCAACAATGCCAAGTCAGAGCTTACGTCTTGCCAGAAACTTATTCTCACACTTATTCTTACATGATATCAAACCAGAGAAACTAGTCATCAAATATTGAAATTCTGGTAAATTCTTTTCCTGTTTCAATAGACATGAAAATTTAAAGTGTTTCACAGGGAATAATAAAGAAATTTTCATTTTTGTTTTCTTCCGCAAAAGTGTTGCAGTTATCGACATACAATAATCATTTTCAGCTAAGTATTTTAACAAGTTTGAAACAAGTCCACAGGCATATGAGAACAGAAATCAGGCAATTAAAGAACTCTTCTGTAATACCAGCATAGAAATATACACGTACATCTAATACAACATATATATCAGGTATGATTTTCAGTTTCTCCAGACTCTGTGCTTGTGCAGAGCTTCGTGGATATCCATCTAGAAGCCATCCCCTTTCTTTAGCATCTTCACGTGATAATCTTGCTGTCACCATCTAGAAAACATAACATTTTCATAAGAAGTACCTAAAACACATCAAAGAAAGCGAAACAAGAATGTAAAGTGGTATAGTACAGCTGTCACAATTTCATCAGGAACCAATTGACCAGCATTCATGAACTCTTTGGCCTTCTTCCCAATATCTGTCCCAGATGATACTTCTGCTCTTAAGAGATCCCCAGTAGATATATGCACCAATCCAAACTAGGAACCAAAAGAAAACATTTATGAGCAAGAAAATATAAAACTATAATTTGCATTCAAGATGGAGTAAACTTACCCATTTAAGACAAATAATAACACATCTTCATTATCTATCCCTACCCCACCAGGGGAAGAAAGAAAAGAAAAGAAAAAGCAGAGAGAGTTTCTTAGGAGGAAAGTGACATGAATTAAAGAAGTTGTGCTATTAAAGAAGTCTCTTAGCGGAAAACTTTTTTCTTCAAAATGTGTAGCCATTTGAAGGTGTACCATTAAAGAAGTTGGCCCAAATATGTAGAATTTGCAAATTATACAAGGATTATACACAATTTTCAAGCAATCCAACAAAAAGAAACATACGTACATATAACAGAACTTGTCAAATTCGTAGAAATGTATTAGCTCGCATACATCATGGTGCATTACGCGTTAATCAAATGAAACAAATTCCATTTTCAGCAAAACCAAAATCAAGCACGAAATCCGTAACTACCTTTTGAACAATCAACTCACACTGAGTCCCTTTGCCGGACGCAGGAGCACCCGATATCATCACTTTCAAAGGTTCATTCGTCGAACAACAGACCTTCAATATTTCCTGTCAAGAAGATAAAAAGTCATAAATTAAGCAAAACACAGACGTCTCCACAAACTCAATTTCGGTGCAAAGAGCATACAGACCTTGGATTTTGGGCGTATCCCCAAGCTGGTGTTGCAGACGAGACCGGAGGAGAGAAGACGGTGATTGCCGAGCGGGGATGCCGTGAGAAAGAGAGAGGACGAAGGAGAGAGAAAAGGTTTGAGAGGAGAGAGAGAGCGAGATGAACAGGCATCTGCCGAGGGAAGAGAAGAAAGTGAAGCGACCGACATTACTAGGAGTTTCTCTCCTCTGCGCACCGAGGGAGCTGAGAGAGAGTGCGCGAGCAGGAGAGGGAGGGGGAGAGCGCGGAAGGAGAAGGATTACTTCAAAACTGATAGTAACGGACAGACGGACACCACATGTTTGGGCCGGTTTTTGCATTTTGGCCCCTCAATTCTTTTTGGTTTTCAATTTAGTCCCCAAATCTTTTTAAATTTATGTAATTAGCCAATGTTTGGCTTGGATTTTTTAGCTTATAATAAGTTTATAAATTTTAAAAAAAAAATAAACATATATCTATATATACACATACATACTTAACTAATATTATAACTTTAGTTTATAAATTTTATGCAAATAATAAATGTTAATTCAAACATTATATTTTATATATTTATTTAAATATTATATTAATTAAAATATTTTTTAGCAAAAGAAGTTGCAAACCAAAATTATATCAAAAATAATATAAAATCAATATCACATGAGATTTTATTATTAAACTAACAAATTTTTGGAAAAAAAATTAATTTTGTAAATATAAATTTTAATGTAATTTAAGATTTATTATTTTAATTTTTAAATGAATTAAATTTTTAATCTTCGTAGGCCAATTTAATTTACAGTTTTTTTTTTATCGAATTAAGTATAAATTTACAAATAAATTTCGTAATATTTCTAAATTTACCATAAGCAAAGGCTAATATAAATGTATCGTATTATTGCACCAAACAGGAGCTGGTTTACTGAAAAGCTTGAGAAAATGGACCAAAAACAAACCAGAAGAATGAGAAACATGAGCAACAACGAAACTTCATAATGATCAAAAGTGTATGCTCCTAAACCGAAATCAAATCAAGAAGATGGCGACCGCACAAACCGCCTTCCCTCTGCTAAAACGCAAATGGAGCTTTTCGGTATGAAACTATCAAGCCATGAACATCATCAATCTATTAAAAGAATTAAGCAGAAACCGCATAAAAACGTGTTATTACATTCGTCAAAGTTTTTCCCTAAACGTAAAATCCAAAGAAAAGTAACTCGTTACATTGTCGTTCGGGTCGCTCTGATTTCTTGCCCAAACGATTGCATCTGGGCTCTGCAGCTTGCTCTCGTTTCTCCTTCTCCGCCAAATGGTTTCCAGATTCTTCAAAATGCATGTATCTTTAGTAAAGGGAAGTCTCTTCAATCCAGTTTCACTGAAGAAAACAGGTAGTGCACAAACCAGAAGGATGAAAGGAAGCCAACTG